TTTAGTTTTAAGGTGACGTAGAGGGGTGTAGCAGATGCATCCCAGCTTCACCGTGTCTTGTGGCTGAGAGGAGCCCAGATGGGAAAGTGCTAATTGCACCATTGCACCAAGGCACCAAAATTTAAAAAAAAAGATTAAAATTATAGAAATTGTCTGGCCAGCCTTTTGCTAAGCAGCCTGTGTGAATAATCTTTCCCAGGGCAAACCAGCAACTGAAACGTGCAGATAATAATAAACGGTAGCAGCAGCTCTCATTAGCCTCTCCTCCCACCCCAACCCGACCGCTGGCTGATGTGTGTAATAAATCACAGGCACACGCTTAATGATCCAAGATTTGTTTACAAAAAAGGTTTCCAATCAGATTTGTGTGCCTTTGAATGGGCCTAAATCACAGGTGCAGAGCCTGCCGTGGGGGATCATAGGCTGGGGCTTCTGTTTATCGGTGAAGCCCCAGCCCAGTTAGCCCACAGTAAAAACACTTAAGCGAAGGGCGGCTCATCCATCAGCCTGGTTTGGTTTCTTCTCCTCAGACCACAATTCTCTTGCTAGGATGTCCGAAGCAAGCGCAGAGACCTGGAGCACCCAGCTGTGCTTACAATTCCCACTGGATTGCCTGTGCCCACGTAGGGATGCTGTGTTTTAACCCCAAAATCCCACTTGGCTGCCTAGGACCCTGCAGGGGCAGAGCTCTGTGCTGGGGCTTTAGTTTATATAGGCTAAAGCTGTTCCTGCAAAGCCAGAGGAATGACCCTTTTGGATTTCATCCGAGCTGGAGAAGCGAAACCACATATTAAATAAATAATACACCCATAAAAGCCCAGCGTGCTGCCGCTCTCTGGTTTCTCTGCTCCTGGTGCCGTACACAGAAGGAAATGGCTTTCCCTCTGCCTCCAGCTGTTTTGTTTTTGCTCCTGTAGATCTTGCCCCTCCTGCGATCTCCCATCTCCTCGGAGTACTACCTAACCGTGCTGGATACGTCCCTTTTCTCCTGATTTCTATTCTTGAGACTCCATTATGGATATTTTCTTCCCCCCACCAATGGACAAGATCATCTCAAGACGTAGATAGGGCTACGTGTCAAATTAAGAAACAGGTGATATTTCTGCAAGACATCCCAGATGTTTGTCGTTCTCCCCATCTCCCATGGCTTCCTATCGAGGTCCACTGGGTTTGCTGTGCAGTGATGAGCTCCCACAGCCCAGGGCCTGACGGACCCTGCCCCAACCTGTGGCACAAGGGTGGTCACAGCAGGTAGCACTTGCTGAGCTGCCCCAGCTCGCTCGCCCGATGCCGTATCCCAACATTTTCTTTATGCCAGGGGTCCAGTCAGGATGAACTGGAGTATAATCAAAATAATCAAGCTGAATAATCAAAATTACCCTTGGGTCTCCCGGGTACTTAGAATTAGAAGGTTAATAAGAAGTCAATCACTCTTCTTAATGGTGGTAAAGAAATTGGCCAACTGCTGCACAAACTCACATTTTTTAAGGACAAGAAATTAATTCATGCAGCTGCCATTTGGGCTAGTGCCATTCAAGCATTTTTGGGGAAGACTCGCTGCCTTCCTAGATCCCGCAATGCCCTTCCTAGTCTCTCCCCCTCCGCCTGGCTTGAGTCTGCTCCAGCCGACAGCAATGGCCCCCCAGCAGCAGCGACTGCAGCCAGGACAAGCTCCTCTCTTCAAACATAAAATCCCTGAATAACATACACACAGCAGCTGAGCAGTTTCTGGGGCATGAAGGGGGCTGGGGAGGGGGGCAGAATTTATTTCATAAGGAGACCTTAATATTGCATAGCCTAGTTTAGGTGAAATTCAGTCATTTTGCTCGCAGCACAACAGGCAGGTGCCTTTCTATTAGGGCAGGAGGTTGCACTGGGCCACGTGAGCCTGTAAAGGGCTCGGGGAACCACATATAAAAAAAACCAAATTTAGTTCTTTCCTATGGGGTGTTCCCTGAAAACAAATAGTTCATGTGAAACGACTGCGATCCAAGAGCCAGGTGACGATCAAGGCCTTTTGCACAGTTGTTGCATCCAGCTCTGATTTCAGTACCTGCTCTAGCTGAGGAGGCTCTGTGAAGTTACCTCCACGGTAATTACCTTGCCATGGTGCAATACCAGAAAGTCACGGCTTAAGTGCAAATTGAAACTGGGAAGAGAGCTTGTTTACCCAGTGTTTAGCCAAGCCTCTAGATGGAAGTTGACTTTAATCCCAGTGCTTATCTGCATCCATTTCATCCTTGTAATAAGATGTTCAAAAGAGGAGTAAGAACAAAGTACTGCTAAACAGACCATGGAGCATAATCCAGCATCACCAAGGAAACTCTAAAAGAGATCTTCCACCCCTCCCGGCCTCCCCATCACAACCTGGTGGGGATTTGTGAGATATTTCTGGTCTAAAAACAGCACCCAGGAGTTTGCCTGCTTTCATCCTGGCTCGGCTGGGTCATAGCCAGGTCTCCATAGCCAACCTGTGGCCATGGGCACCCAGTACATGGGTTTTGTGCCGTTCAAGAGAGCAGAAGAGTAGCTCTGGATTTGGAGACTCTTGTTAACTGGCACACAACCCATGGGCACGGACCTTTGGAGTAAAGCTCTCATTTTTCCCCTTGTTTGAAATAACAGTCTCTGGGCAGTTACCTCTCATGGGCGGCTTGGAAAAACATGCCCAGAGGAGACAGCAGAGCAGCATCTTGGCCCCAAGTCCTCCACAGCATTACGTTATCTGGCCAACCGCTTAACCCCAAGTGCAAACGCAGTTGCTTTCTCAACCGGTGCACACGTGTGTATCTGATGGCAGGCAGGACATCAGGGCAGCCCTGCCACAAGCTTGTTCTGTATTTGCTGCTAAAACCAGCGTTAAGTCCTGTTAAGCTAGCTGCCTCGCTGACTGCATCAGCCGCATTGCCCCACCAAACAAGGTGGCCTCCTGCGGTGATTTGGAAATCGCTGCCTGTTGCCTCAAAGGCAGGCAGCTAATATTGCACAGGGCTGTGAAAGACAGACAAGGAAGGCACTGCAAATAGCTCCGTACCCTTGGCAGAGCAGACGCGCGTGGCAGATCATCATCCATACATTCACAACACCTTGTACAACCCCCATGCTCCCAAATCTTATTGCCCTCCTGATGGCTACAGATATTTAGTCAAACCAGAGCACTTAGCTCATGCCCGTGCACACATGCATTGCAAGTGCCGTCCTTCACGGGGGGGGACACCTCACGGCACGTCCCCTTCTGCTGATGGGCTGATCCAGGCTTTCCGCTCTCCCTGGCCCTTTCCTAACACCTCGAGACACACTGGCTCGGAGCAAACTCTTTAATTGCAGGTCATAGCAATTTCAGCCTTCCTGTGATTATTTAGGAAAGTTATTCTGGTGATGATGATTTTGGAAAGTACACACACACACCCATAACACATACACACACACCCCCATGCAGTTTTGGGTTGATTTCTATAGGAACTGCAGAAATTTCACTCCTCCTTGGCTTGCAGGTCTCCAGTACTGTCTCAAGTGGCCATTGCAAACTCCTCCTACCACAGTGGTGAACGCGGGTATTGATCAGCCAACAATAAAATGCTTTGATGGTTATAAATAACCTTCATTTCCTTCCACCCTGCCTCTACTCTAAGTTACTCCCCCAAAGTCTAGCGGGGAGCTCACAACACCTTGCAAGGTTGTCTGTCTGTGTGCATTATTTACGAATTAAAGCTCAGCACAGTTTACGACTCTCTAGCTGTGTTACTTCTGTAACTCCTCAGGGGCAAAGCCCAACGCTTACCAGCTGCCTGCACACACCCCCCCAGATCACAAACAGCTCATGGCTTGGGTCGCACGTCATGGGACTAGCCGTAAAACATCTTACCGTGCCGTGCAAGACAAATTTCAAACAAGGTGCGTTGGCACCGGAGCAGACGCACTTGAGCATCTGCGCAGCGGAGCTGTGAGCTTGCTCGGCAGCTAAGAAAAGCAATGTTAGCGCTGGTTTGCATTTTCAGCTAGAAAAACCAACAGGTGCTGGGCAGAACCATTCCCTGGCTCAGGCTGTAATGAAAGGCAAAAGCATTTCCACAGCTGGCTGGTTTGGCGCGAGGCTAACGCGTGTGCCACCGCAGCAGGTGAGACATGTGAGCTCACCAAGTGGACATGAGCAATTAGCATGCCTGAGGCTCCTTCCACCTCCTAATTCACTCAGAATAATTCATTATCAAAAAGTCTTCAGCAGCACTAGTCTGCCGACGGGTCCTGATTGTAGATGTGTTCTTTGATTCACTTTAGAAGATAAATTGACCTGTGAAACTCCAGTCTAGTTCATGCTAATGAGTCTCTGTAGGGCCATCATGAGAATTAATTTATTTATCTAAGGACTTCTCCATAGTGCTCATCTGCTCAGCAGCTAGACTGAAGAGACATAATAGGTCTAACACACTGGAAATACTAGAGCAAATCGCCGATCCCTGGAGGTGTCTATCCTATATTTGCTGTCTTGGGTTAAAGTTGTTCTGGTGCAGGTCCTCAGTTTCCCACCTGTACAGCCAAGAGAACAAACACGTGTCTTCCTGCTCAAAGAGCTTCCTAGTCAGCAGTGTGAGAAGTGTTACACCAGCACCGGCATAAGCTACAGTTCCTGTCCATCTAATCAAGGGCTTCCTTACCCTTTTTTGCACCTTTAAAAGCAGCAGGATAGCCTTTTTATTCCAGGGTTTTGCAGTGGTTGTGGAAAAGAACTCCCCACTTTTTCTGACTTACAGTTTTTGAATATGGTCTCCTTGTTTCTGGCCATCTTCTATCAATAAACAGCCTTGAAATGTCTCTCTGCCCCCCAGCTGCACAGACACACTCCTGGCCTCTACAGAAGAGGTGGTTAGCCCCAATTGAACATCCTACCTAACTCACTCACGTTCTTGCCCCCTCCAAGAGCGGCCAGGGAGCCCAAAGTGATGCCACCAAGCAGAGACGTCCCTCTGCATTAACATCCCTCTTCATTTCTTCCCCTGCAGCTTGAAAGCTGTCCTGATGGGGAAGCCCCAGGACAACACAGTGGACTTGTCGGGCATCCCGCTGACGCTGAAAGACTTGGACCGCGTCATGTCCTACCTCCAGCACAGCTCAGAGCACATCGACACAGTGGAGCTGTGCTTCACGGAGCTGACAGACGACATGCTGCTGCAGCTGCTGCCAGCCCTCTGCGTGCTGCCCCACCTCACCACCCTCTCCCTCAACGGCAACCGGCTCACTAAAGCCATCCTACGGGACCTCACCGAAACCCTGAAGGACCCCAAGAAGTTCCCCAGCGTCACCTGGATCGACCTTGGCAACAACGTGGACATCTTCTCCTTGCCACAACCCTTCTTGGTCAGCCTAAAGAGACGATGCCCAAAGCAAGGCAACTTGCCAACCATTCTGGAGTTCGGCGAGGGTCAGGTAAGCGATTTGGAGAGCCAGGATGGCCTGGCCGAGAGCCAGGAGGACTTGCGAGCTGGACCAGGCAAGACTGACAACATAGGCTTGCAGCAGACGGACAGAACAGTTGAGGCTGGGGAGGTCCCCAACTCGGAGCAAGGTGCTGCGACACCGCAGACATGATGTCCAGCTCCGTGGCTCTTGGGTGGGCGTGTTGAGCAAGGATGACTTATAACCAAGACCTCAGCGTTGGAGGTCCTGGCAGAAGGTCAATTCACACGGTGGGATGCTTCGGGAGTCCAGACTGCCGCCTTCCTCCCATAGAATGAATGTCAACTTTTTTCTTTTCAAAGAACGCATAAAGGTGATCGCGTTGAATACTTGTATTTTATAAAAGCTGGCCAGGTATTTTTAAACATTAGTGACGTGCTATGCTTTTTAACCTCCCAAAAACGCACCTCCAAGGTGGTGTAATATGAGGCCCTTAGAAGAGCACAAAAGGGGAGATGAAAGGTGCCCAGACTTTGCAGGGAAGGGCTCCCTTTCCTTAGCGCTGGGTCTAGCCAGATCCCAGCTGCTCTCCCACGCGTGGTGGACAGACAACGGTCACCCCAAAGAGGGCTGCCGCCAAGACAAACCTTAAATCCTTTCCAATCCTGACTTCAGGAGTTGCTGATGAATAGCATATCTGCTGAGATGCAACAGAAGTCTGATCACACACTAACCAGGGGTGTTTCTCTTAATACTGTGAGCCAGCCCGAAGGGAGAGCTTTGCTTTCCTGGTGCGGAGCTAAATCCCAGCCCGCTGCGTGCCTGGACGCCTCTCTCACCCTCCAGCCTTACTGAAATCAGGCTGGCACTTGTGCCTGCCCAGTATTTATTCAGATGTAAAATCCAGTTTCCCCCCAGCCGTGCTGCTGTAATAACTCCAGAGCTTTTAATGCGGTACCTGGCGCTTGCACCAGCAACGCTGAGAGTACTTGATCCATTTTGGGGAGCGATCCGCAAAATCTGGAGCCGGGGCTCAGCTCAGGTTCATTGCTGTTGCTGACAAAAGAGACCACCATACTGAAGGTCTATAAAAGAAAAAATAATCCTGGGGTTCATCCCTGTATCACTGCCACTGAGGGCTGGGCGGACACAGCCAGCTGGAGATTTAAAGCCTCAGAAAGGCTGTTGGGTCACTTGGCTGTGTCCATTGCCCCCCTGGACCAGAAGTGCTTTGTTTCTAAAATGTTTTGTTTTCTAAGAGACATGGGTTTGATTTTATTTTATTTTTGATGGAAAATTGATCACCCCAGAGTAGCAGTGCTGGAACGTGCACTTTGGCTTTTGAACCAGAATTTCATTTGATCCTAAACCTGGGGGAGGGCAGGAAAGTGTGAAAAACTTCCTCCCCCTTACGTTCAAAGGACCAAACGTGACTCCCTTTGCTAAGAGGGAGCCCCTTTCTATCTGTTCAAAGCCCTTCCCCTGACCAGCTTTACAGCACCGTTTTCCTGGCTCGCAGCAGTGACTCTCTGGCTTTGCTTTTTCTGGGTGCAAACGCAGTCAGACTTTTGGTCGTCTCTTTGGCTCTGCTCATTTAACATCGCTGCACCGGGAAGCTTTTTCCAGAGGGGCTTCACGCTGTCGGTGGTTGTTTCTCCTCCGTATGCAAGTAGATAACTTAGAAGAAACTCTGCTACTCGTTTTAATACATTTGGCAAAGTTCAGTATGATTTGCATGTATCCACGCCTTTTTCCTTTTTTTTTTAATGTTAACTCTTTCCAACAGGCATGAAAAAAACTTTGCAGTGAATAAACTGTTCTGTTTGAAATAAAGGAACTATCCGTAATCAAAATAAATTACAATGTTTAATAAAGACCCAGGGTTGAATTTTTCCTCTGTGCAGACTGAAGGCCCAGCTGGCAGCCCAGAACACCCCAGCAAAAAACCAGTGCTAAGCACTGCAGGTCTGGGTTCTCCAGGGTGCTTAAAAAAAAAAAGCCGCTGTAGCTGGCTGGAGAAATAAATAGCCCAGTTTATGGGCTGGATTCTGCAGGGTGGGCACAAGGTGGACACAGAAGCATCATAAAAGCATCTGTTAAATTTTAAATGTCGCCAGTGTGCAAAACTAATGTGGGAGAAAGGAATCCCGAGAATGGCATACTGCTCCACGGGGTATTTCTCTCCAGTGTTACAGCCTCAGCGCACTGAAGGAAATGGCTTTTTATTTGCAGCCAGGACTGTTTAGATGATGTTTGTTCCAGCACCCAAACCATGGCAAGGGCTCGCACAGGACATGGCAGCCAGCGTGCTGGTGAGAGCAAGTTTGTCCTAACTCACAGGAGACCTTTCCTGCAGCACTTGGGGACTATTTCCATCATTACTACAGCTTCAAAAGGTACCTTTAGTAGAGGTATAAATTAAGCAAGATGTGATACACCAGCTTGGCCGGGTCTCAGCTGGATCCCTAACCGTCAGCCCATCCCTGGGGGAGGTTGCACTTCTCCCCCTCCCCAGGAGCCACACACAAGGGTCTCCTTGCCTGGGGCAGGGCTGTGGGACGGAGCCTATGGCACGTATGTTTTGTTCGTACAGAAAGGCTGACAGGCAGCCTGTAGAGCCTGTGCCGGCCCCCAGGGCAGGCAATGAGACACGGGCAGCAAATCCACCATCACTACTTCATCCGCCACATGCACACGTCGCCTTGCTGTGCCAGTAGTACATCCCTCACGGAGATTTGTTAACTCAACCTATGGGGATTTCACCAAGAACATGATTTTTTCCTTGCAAAAAAGAAACTCCAGCAATTTCTTCTATAAGAGGTCAGGCACTGGTTTGCTCAGTATCTCAGTACTCAAAACCAGGCTCCCCTCCTTCCTATGCACGGCTCCTGCAACTCTGTCAGTTTAAATTATTTAAATCACAAGCTCCTTGCTGCAAGGTTTTTATTTTCCGCTAAGTATTTTCACAGGAGCCAGCCATCCTGGACCTCAGCATCCATCTGGACCCCCCCAGTTTGGCCATGCAAATTCATAAACCAGAGGCACTTTGCATTTAGAGCGCTGCATCATTTATTGATGCTTTGCACGCTCAATTCCCTCACTGACAAACCACCCAGGAGGTTGCTCCTGCCACATTTCCCCTCCAGCCCAGCTTCTACCTGCTGTGAAACACATTAATCAGCCAGGAGATACTTTGCATCTGTCAGGCTCTTTCTGCAAGGGGCTACGAGCAGCCCACCAGCTCAACTTTCAGCTGCAGAGGGCTAAATGCAAGGCTCTGTGCCCAACGCTGCCACAGATTTGCTGCGAATCGGGAGCACCTCGTCCTAGCCAGCCATCCCCCTCTGCTGTGAAACGCTGCGGTTGGGTGCCTCGCGTGATCATCCAGGACTGCGCTGCAAAGGGCGAGCCTCCGGAGAAAGACCCCACGTCCCTCAGCCCTTCGCCCCGTGCAGACGTTGCACAGCTTGAGCTAGCTCTGCTCCACTGGTACAGGCAGGCTGTGCCGGTATCTCTCTGTGGATCTTCTGAGAAAGGGAGATAACTAGAAAGGGCCTTTTATCGATATATTCCTGCGTGCTGAAGCTTGCACCAAATTACTGACTTTCATAGGAAAAGGAAAAAAAAACACAGCTCCAGTAGAGACAGTTATAAAAAGAAGAGGGCTTTAGCTAATCAGTCTCTTCCTCGCAGTGTGGATTAGGTCGATTAGCCATTTATTGCACTTCAGGATGACGATGATCCTGTAGACTCAGTAAAGAGTGGGTTGGTTTTTTTTTTTAAGAAAACAGCATGAGATTGCTTCCCTTCGTAGCCCATCAGCATCAAAACAAGCTTGGAGCTCACTCCATATATAATCAGTGTTCCCCATGCTACGCTGGGCTACTTGTTCTGGTCAGAAGCTTTAAATGGCCCTAGAAGAATGTTTCAAGTACTGAAAATCACTGCTGTTAGAATATTAAAGTCGGCTGAGGTCATTTGTTGTCAAAGGGGGAAGGAAATATCCACTATAAAATAAAAAAGTCCATAAAACATTCAAGCCCGGTTTGGTTAGTTATCTCCACCAGCACCACACAGCTCTGCCTGTGCATGAAACTAGTCTGTGGGAGAAGATTTATGCCTTCAGCAACAAAAATGTAATTGGAAATCATTCTGCACAGGTTGAAGAGCCCATACCGAGGGGAATCAAAACAGCAGGCGAGGAATGAGAGAGGCATGAAAGGGGCTGACGCCACGTGCTCCGGGGGGCTCATTCCAGCTGGGTTATCTCGGAAGAGTTTGCACAAGCCCCATTTGGTTTTTGAAGGTGATTATTCTTAAAATGAGGGTTACGTTCCTGAGGGGAGTGGGAGCAGGCAAGAGGGCTGGTGATGCTCACCCCCAAGCAGGGACTGCGCTGGAAAGCCAGGAAGCCACAGAAAGCAGCGTCGAGGACATCAAGAAGCTCAAAACCACTTTGGCCAAAAGCATTGCTTGCTGCTCACCAGTCCTTCGGAGAGGAGCAGAAGACTGCAAACACCTACCCAAAACTGCCCAAATGCCTACCCAAAACTGCTGCAGAGGAGAGGCAAAACAGTGAGCCAAGGGACTAAGGGGACACCAGGGGAGGCAGCAGAGGGCTGCCCCGGGCAGTGAAACCACACTGGGTTATTGCACTGCGACTGACTTCGCACTCAGGCACAAACGTTTCAGCGCTTTCCTATGGTTCAGCACACCTCATTTCAGCAGCAGGAGAGGAGGAGGCTCCAGAGCTCGTGCAGGGACCCCTCGTGTCCTCAGAAACACAAAGGCTCCATGTTCCATTAACTGGGAGTGCATCGCCAGCAGCTGCTATTGCCAAGGAAACCGATTGACATTATTAGCAGTATTCACGTATTAATGCTTATGAGGAAAGGAAAAAAACAGCTAACCTAACCTCTCCAGTGTTATCTACTGAGGTGAGCAACAGATTGAATCTCTTCCTGACCTCTTTGGTACACAGATGTCGTGCTGGAAACATCGCGCAGTGATCCCACTCTTCCCTCGCTCCAGGGGCAGTTGAGTTTTTATCTGCCTGGGGGCCATACTTCACCAGCAGATTATACACAGCAAGAGGAGATGATCTTTCCAGCTCTATTAAATGTCTTTAGCATTAAATTCTGAAGGACAACGGGAAACGAGATCCATCACTCACAGTCCTCTGACAGCCTCCAGTGATGCGAGTCTCACTGCTTCATACAAGCGGGCCCCATCTTCAAGAAATATTCTCAAATGCTCAACAGCCGTAAGTGAAAGAGCTGACGACCCTGCCATACCAGAACCTGCCAGGCTTTGGAGATTCAGCCTTTCCTTTCCATGCTTTGGGGGAATAGAGGTCTTCTAAGATGATGAAGTGGCGTTAGAGGCTCGATGGGGATCGCTCCCCTCCCTTGCAGCATCCCATGACCAGCGATTGCACACTTTCAAGACATGGGTTTGCACACACCCAGGCAGCACATCATGACTGCTACTTATCACACAAAGCTAGCCAAAAAATAAGAAATACAACAGGCTTGGGTCCTACTGCATATTTACATGTGCTTGGTCAAGGACAGCTTGTCTGGGAGGAAGGCAAAGCGAGGAGCAAACACCATCACCCTGCACCGATTACAGCCGCGCGCTCCGCTTTGAGCCCAGTGCAATAGCCCGGGCAACACCATGCTGAGCTACAAACCCCACAGACTTTACCATAAACGCAAATATCTGCAGCTAGTGACTGCTTGCGGGCAGGAAGGTTCCCAGCTGGGAGCTGGGCAGAGGAGACAAGGGAAAATCTTAGTGCAGGGCTGGCTGCGAGGCTGCCCACTTATTTCACCCCACTACAATCCACGCTCTGCTTGTACCAGAAAAGCTCCTCCAAATCCATGCAGATGCAATCCCTTCCCCACCAGGACCAAGCCCCGGGGGGGATCGAGGCCCCTCTCGCTGATGCATACAGCCCAACACACCCTTTGCTCTCACATTCTCGCCCATTTTACTTACACCCATCACACCCACCTTTAGGACAAATCATCTTTTTTTTCTTCCTCATCTTTCCTGTTCCTTATTCAGAGGAAAAACTGAACACAAGCTATACAGGAGAGTGTCTGGGCAGGGCAGGCAAACGGTTTTGTCTGCACTTGCTAAAGGACTGGGGTCCCTGATGCAGCCTCCTCTCTGCCTTAGCAAAACCCAACTTGAATTGTATTTATTTTCATTCCCTTCCAAGCTTTAAGAAAGAAATATATATTTATAGGGCTGCAGTGCTTGGAGGATTTCCCGTGTGCTCCCCGGGAACGCACAGCGCTGCAGGGGAGAACTGAAATAGTAAATGAACTGGAGGGGGTGGTGGGTACAGGCTGGTTTTTTTCTTACATCTGTATTTTGCAGTCTCTGGGTTGTAAAGAAGCAGGTTCATAGGAAATGGCTGTTTACGGGGAATGGGTGAATGAAAAATAATCACAACTGCTGCAAAAGAAGGTGGGGTTTCAATGTGAAAAACATGTTTTTCAAACAAGAAAAAGCTGACCTAGTTGAAAACCCAGAGAGCAGCAGGTTGGCTGACTTCTATCGTCGTTACAAATATTTATTGGAAAATGCAGTGCTTGGGGAGCGTGACGAGTGCCTCCGCAGGAACCGAGGAGGATTCCTACGCTTGTCATGGTAAATGTCTAGTGAGTGCCCTCCTGAGCAGATGCTGCTGTTCCTGGGTGTGAATGCAACCAGACCCTTGAAGTCAGGAGTGTGCCGGGCTGCCTGGAGCAGAGCTATGTCAAAATCTCAATGGAAATCCCAATACCCAAAATTTAGGAATGCTGGGCTGCCATTTTCCTGAGCAGACGGGTCCAAGAGGAGAGCCACCAGC